ATTAAAATTAAAAAATTTAAAAAGGTACATTTATAAATTAATTTAAATTACATAAAAATTTAATTTGGGTATTACAATAGTAATCAAATTAGTTTGAATATACACGAATTTATTTATATTGTCTTTATTTTTTTAAATTATTTTTCTTATTTGTCACGTTTTTTTTTAATTATTTATTTTTTAAGCAGCCCACTTTTCTGAATTCATATTTTATTATATATATTTTATCATACTTCTAATTATAAATAATTTTTAAATATAAATCATGCATACTATTAATCAAATTCTAAATCTGTAATTGTCAAATTATAAACAATTCAATTTTGATTTCCCCTTAACGATATAGCTAAGACTGTATAATCATAACATTTAGAAAATGATTTTTAAGACCTTATAAATAATATATTACATATATATATGTATATACCATGGTATATACATTACTAAAGAATTAATCTAATTAAACATGCATCTATATGGATTAATTAAGCAGATATATATATATGTATATATATACAGGCATATACAGTAGACTAATTAAAAAAAGAAAAAAAGAAAAAAGAAACCATCTAAATAAGAAAGATAATATTTATAAAAATCAAAAGCTAGAAGCCAATAATGACATGGCCCTGCAGCTGCTTCATTGTAGAAAGAAAGAAACAGCATCTAAGAAAAAGTGCTTCTTTGCGTCCAAACACTGTCCCAATTTTACCCACTCCCATCACAACACACCACTCATCATTATTTTAATTTTAATTTTTTTTTTAAAAAAAGTAATTAATTCATTCACGCTCCCTTTTTAAGCCACTGCCTCCATCTTCTTCAACCACAAATCACCCTTTACCTAATTAATTAATCCTCGTTCACGCGCTGTCACTGATTCTTACTCCATAAAAAAGAATTATATACATATGCATCTATATATATCTATATATATATATATATATATTCAACTCCTGATCTTGCTAGGTTCTGCTTTTTGTTATAAAGCCTGTATGTAGAGGTTTTGTATAATGTGATGCTCTCTTGAACATCCCACGAGCCATACACCCATCGTTCTGCTCAAATAAAAACTTAGCCAGCCTCATTCTCTTTTATCCTTATCTCTGCAACACCTCTCCATTCTTCAATTATTTTTCTTTCTTCATCCATCACCTTTCTGTTTTTTTCCTCCCCAGATCAATCGTTTCTGCTTATAACCACCAAAACCCATAAAACGCAAACCCTTCTCCTTCTTCTTCTTCTTCTTCTTCATCTTCTTCTACTTCCCTATTTAGGATATATATATATATATATATATAGTATTGGCAGTGTTGAATATGGCTCTTGAAACATTACTTGTAAAGGTGAAAACAGCACTATCACACAGCTTTGATACGGTGAAATCCTCAACAATTGCACCCACGTCTAGAAAAGAATCGAAGCATGAGAAATCAAACGTCGACGTTTTGGCTTTCGAGATCGCAGGTCTCATGTCAAAGCTTCTCCATCTATGGCAATCTCTCTCCGACAAGAACATTATCCGCGTCCGAAACGAATCAATTTCTCTCGAAGGAGTCCGAAAGATCGTATCCAACGACGAGTCATTTCTCCTCGGTCTCGCCTGCGCAGAGATGACCGAGAACATCAGACACGTGGCAAAATCCCTTTCGCGGCTAAGCAAGCGATGCAAAGATTCCAGCTTGAGGTCCTTTGAGGAGGATTTTAATCGGTTCGCCAACTCGGGTCATGACCCGCACTGTTGGGTTCTGAGCCCGAAAGAGATGGAAGCCAAGAGCAGGAGGATGGACAGGTACGTGACTGTTACAGCCACGTTGTATAAAGAAATGGAGGAGCTTTCGACATTGCAGAGTTCGTTGAGAAAAACTGTAGATCAGTCTGATAATATTCAGAGCTTGTCGATTAAAGAGCAAAAGATTATCGATCTGCAACAAAAGATTTTCTGGCAAAGACAAGAGGTGAAGTATCTAAAGGAGAGATCTTTATGGAACAGAAGCTTTGACACAGTTGTTTCAATTCTTGTGAGATCAAGTTTCACAGTCTTGGCAAGAATTAAGCTTGTTTTTGGGCTTGGCCATGGCTACCCAGCTTCTCTACCTCGCTCTCTCTCAGCTTCAGCAACAGTCCACCCAACTGAAAACCCTAACTTCGTGTCAAAGCTAGACGAAAAGAAAGATTTACTCAACGAGTTTTTCGAGTCGAATTCGAAGATACTTAAGCCGCCGGCAAGCACGCTTGGAGCCGCGGCTTTAGCTCTGCACTACGCAAACTTGATTATCGTCATGGAGAAGATGATAAAGCAGCCGCAACTGGTTGGTGTTGATGCAAGAGACGACCTTTACGCCATGCTTCCGAGCAGTATAAGATCGTCGTTGAGAGCGAGATTGAAAGGAGTTGGGTTCTCTGCAAGTGATCCTGCACTCGCCGGAGAATGGAGGACGGCTTTAGTCAGGATCTTGGGATGGTTATCTCCTCTGGCACATAACATGATCAAGTGGCAAAGTGAAAGAAGCTTTGAGCAACAAAACCTGGTCCCAAAAACAAATGTTCTTCTTTTACAGACATTGTTCTTTGCAAATAAAGAAAAGACTGAAGCCGCCATTACAGAGCTTCTAGTGGGTTTGAACTATATTTGGAGATTTGAAAGGGAGATGACAGCAAAGGCGTTGTTCGAATGCAGCAACTTTAATAATGGGTTGTCGAATTTGCAGAGTTCGGCGACCTAAGGAAGCCAGCTTTTATTAATTTACTTCATCTTTTCTTTCTCTTGATCTTTCTGGTTTTGTTTTGATTTTGTTAATTTCTGCAATTTTATCATGGTTGAATATTCTAGTTTCAACTAAGAGTTTCAGATCTTTGAGGGTTTGTTTTGCAATCCTAACCCTGATCTGTACATGGTAATTTAGAGATAATATGTATGTAAATGATCATATGAATTAATGAGTAATTGTTAATTAAAATATCAGTTTGTGAGTGGTAACTGTTCAATTTCTGTCTGAATGCTATCGAATATAAACAAGTAGGAACTGGCAGACTGAGAATGGGGAATGGGTCCAATTTCTATATAATCAGATATATATATATATATATATATATGTGTGTGTGTATATATTTATTTGTGGTTTAGCTGATTGGAATCTTGTGAAACTATTTTCTCATGATGAAAAGAGGGCCATACCAAATATAAGATACCAAAGGTATTAGGCCATTAGCCATGTGGACAATTCATATATATATATATATATATATATATATATGCATGTTAAGAAATGATATTTTGTGTAGACTTCTTGCTTTAAATTTTATCATAAAAGAAAACAATGTCAATCTTAATTTCTTGTCAACCAATCACAAATTATTTCCTGCATTAAAAAGAAGATTCACGATTTCTGTATAAAATTGAAAACACTAAATTCGACCGTGAATTTTTATTTATTTATTTTCAAATGAGCTGGTAGTTTTTTATGCTCATTTTGCAGTTGAATCTTGAAGCTCGACAACCACTAGACAGAGGTTGATTTTTAAACATATCCTGGAGGGATCATACCCCACTATTTGCCTTCCCATGCATGTTATTATTATTTATAACATATGTATGTATATACTGTATACATCGAGTTTATGTACACTGTATGTCTATATATATATATACTTACCTTTTGTGATTATGTACAGCTCATATAGCATCGCCATTAGGATTCAGATTTCTCGTAAATGTTCCCACCTTTCTCACCTCTGTCCCCTTTTTAGAACCCCCATGACTATCTCAAATGAGTGATTTGATTTCTAATAATAATATCTAAAGATGGTTTAAAGAGAGATTAAAGTTTGATACCCCATCTTAATTAATTATCATACATCTACCCCATCTCACACTACTCACTACTACCTTTTTTCCTTCTTCTTCCCTCTCGAATATCATACGGCCTTTTGGGTTAACTTAATCTAAACTGAGGAGTTATGTGGTCCTGTTTTAGAGACATTAATGGGGTTTCCCATATAATTTTCACTCTAATTCTGTCGTTTACATGGCCAGCATTGATGCAAGTCGGCCATAAACAAAGTAGGTTAATCTTTTACTTGAAATACAAATTAATCCCTAAATATGATCAAATTTTAGCTTAAGGTATTTTCACCAGAAAGTTTCAATTGAGTACCACCCATATTTGTAGATTTTAATTTGCATGTATATACCATGTATTTTCTTCATAAATTTTTTTTTTTTTAAATCCCATTTTTTCTTAATAATAATCTTTGCCCAAAAATTTGAAATGCACCAGAGGCCATTATTGTTTTAAACTTCTGGGTTTTGCCGAAGGATTAAATTAAACTCAGAGCTCGAGTTCGTAATGGTTTGCTTAACCTTTTTTTTAAAAAAATTTGATGTGTTTAACAAATATAAAACAAAATACAAAAACTAAATTGCGGTAAACCCTTATAATATCGTGAATAACCATTTAAAGAATACGTTCTTATATAATTTTGTTTATTTTTCTTCAAATTTGCTTAGCGATTTCGATCTTTCAGAAATGTGAAATCAGTAGGGAGATTTTGCGTGAATTTATGGCGGAGAGGGGAGATACGTGGCCGTGAACTGTTGTGCATGGAGTGGCACCGGGCTGTTACTGAGGAAAAGAGTAGCGTATTCCAGAAACTCCTCGCGATGCTGCAGTTCCTACTGCCACTGTTTTATATATTTTATTTATTCATCTCGCGCTTGCAGGAGGCTTCAATGGCGGTCCAAATTCAACTTTGGGTCAGACCCAAATCCTTTTTTTTGGTCATCAGTATAGACAAATCATGGGCTGATACAAGCAATGCAGAATTAATTGTGTATGTATTGTTTAATTAATAAAATATATGAATTTATACTGTCTTTTTTCTAATGAGAAGTTTATAAGGCACTAAAAATAGGTAGAAATTATATAACAAATATAAACTGGTTTAAAATAAAACTGAATCAACTATCTTATTGTTAGGGTCCGTAGCAGAAGGCTTAACAAACCAACTACAAAATTCAGGTGCGGGCAACCCAGAGGTGCAAAATAGTGCGAGTTCAAAGCATCAAGTTACCATAGCTTGTACCTGAGAAATGGCAGGGAGTGACAATGCCGAAAATATACAGCAACCGCCTTCAGTTCCTTTTCTTTGGGAAGAAAAGCCTGGTACCCGGGCATGTCTTTAGTCACTCCAGTACTGCCACATCCAACCTCGAATACTTTTGGGAAGAAAAGCCCGAATAGCTGCCTCTATCATCACTCGAATTATCAACTCCACCTCTTGTGAGTACGAAAGCTTGCCTTCTTCGTATGTTGATGATAACAAAGAAAAGAAAATTATATTTCTAACAGCAGCATTTACGTTGGAATTGATAGTAACCATAAACAAGGAATTTTAGGCTTGGAGCTTGAAGCATCTGGTTTCGAAATGGATGATTCATTCAGTTCTTCTTCCTCCCTTCTAGCCAATTGCCTGCTACCATCAGCTGCAATTTCCACATGCAGTCCCTGCGGAGTGACTTTATAATATCTGGGTTCAGCAAGGAAGCACTTACTTACTGGCTTCTGAAACAGACAGCAGTATAAGTAGCTATGCAACTGGAGTATCGCACCTTGTAGGAGCTTCTCTATTGGACTGTCCCTTTCCACTATTTCCACCCAATTCTGGCTTCCTCCAAAATTCTACCTACTCTGATTATGCAACTTCTCATACCCTACCCAAAATAAAAAGCCAAGATCATGATGGTAAGAATAACAGCAGAACCATTGTAAGGAGACCAACAACACTAGAACTGGAAATAAAAAGCCAAGATCATGATGGTGAGAATAACAGCAGAACCATTGTACGGAGACCAATAACACTAGGAGAAATGATAATAATGAGCCAGAGGAGTTACCAGAGAAAAGTTACCCAAATGAAAAAGAACCCGTCGATGTTAAAATCTCAAATTCTTGGTCGTTTGTATTGTCATGTCATCACCAGGAACTAGTTTTATCAGTAGGCTACTTTCTAATAACTGAAGAATATATTTCCAAGGAAATTTACTAAGATATGGAAATGAACATAGCAGCCTCTACTCATGTAAAAATATTAGGATTTCTATTATCAATTTTGCACCAGAAATTTGAAACAACCTCAACAACTGCCTGAATGAAAAATAACAGAAATTCATGCAGAAACGAGATACTGGCTCTAGTATCTTCACAACTGGCATCAAATTGACTGAAGGATTGCAGTAGAAGAAGCTCCAGCCTAGACTGAAACTGGTGTAGAACGACAATTCCATCAGCCGTTCTGTTCCAGACTGCCGTACATCAGCCTTCCCCGTCATGACTTTCTATAAAAACTTTGTTTCTAATTGGATGATCAAGACATTAGGTTGTAACTATTTATGAGCTTTAAAAAGAGACATTCTGCTAAATTCTGCAAAATATACAAAAAAGTAGCAGATAAACTTACCTTTGCAGAATATGAAACTCTCTTCTATAAAATTCAAAGGTTCCTGTGCGTGGCTATACACATACTTTTACTATTTAACTGGAAAATATCCTATACAGTAATGTCATAGTCAATCAAGACAATAGGTTGGAAAAGAAAAGACATATTGCATTTCAATCAAGAGATTTACAAGTTTCAGAAACTTTTGAAATTCGCTCGATGACTACAGGAACATCAGCCTCAGTCAAAGTAGTAAAACAACACCTGAACCATCCTGGTTCTATGCAATGGCAAGCTGATCCAGGAGTTACATTGATCTTAGAAATGTTCAAAAGCTTATCCCATAATTCAAGTTCCCCTTTCTCACTGTAAGAAGGGATTAAGCTGCTCATATCAACCCAACAGTAAAAGCCAGCAGTGCTCTCTGCACACCTAATTCCTACTTGGTTCAAACCAGTCACAAACAAATTATGCATTTTCTGTATCCTCATTCTGTTAGTCTTTCTATATTCCTGAATGAACCTTGAATCTGAAAGCATTGAAATTAGAAGCCTCTGAGTTGGGGTTGAAATAGAAGAAAATCTTGTCAACTTTTTTGCAGCAACCAGAACACTCTCATTATAGGAATAGATAACCCCAACCCTAAATCCTGGAAGAGAGAGGTCTTTTGACAGCCCATATACAATATGAATCCTGCTCTTATCAATTTCTTCCAAATCAAGAACTTCTGCCATGCTTACAAACTCTTTGCTACCATAAACAGACCCTGCAAATATTTCATCAGAAATGATGTGGATGTTTTTCTCTTGGGCAAACTCAATCAAATCATAGAGTGTTTCTCGTGACAAGATATTGCCAACAGGATTTGAGGGGTTTGAAATGAGAATTCCACGAACTTTTACTCCTCTTTTTCTGGCCTGATTGAAAGCTTGATCAATAGAAGAGATACTTAAAGTGAAATTATCAGTGTTACGACAGTGCACAGGTATTAGCTCCACTCCTGTCCGTGACCGAATATCCCTGTCAAAGCTGCATTTCTTTGTATTCTTAGTTTTCATGCGGTTCCTTTGATAAAATGATTCTGTAATAAAAACTTTGATCATAATGTGCTAAAATATTACCCAGGATAATAAGGTGTGGGGATGAGAAAGGCATTTCCATGATCAGCCAAACAGAAGCATAATATCTCAATGGCAGGAGTTGCACCAGCAGTCAACACTATCTGTGATGGGTCAAATGAGACACCTCCCTCCATGACCTGAGACATGAACCCTGCCACAGCCTACAAAATTTCAGGAAAAAATTTTAAGAATAACACTGCACTACAAGAGACTCAAATGGAATCAAATGCTGGACTAGTTTTTCGTTAGAAGCGCAGAAGTCAAGGTAGGATAACACAACAGAAGTTTTAGGTTTCAAAACTTATAGAACGGAGGAAACCCAAATAAAGCCCTATACACCACATTTCTGTAAAAGAAAATTCAGCATAATGCCCATGGACCTGTTCACAGAGATAACAGATAATGATACTCTCTTGCATGGTTACAAAAGATAAATAAGAACAATTCTTAAGCAGATAAAATTCCCCAACAACATTTGCTACGTTAAATAATTACAATTGGCACACTTTGAAGTGAGTAAAACCAAAATTTAAAAGTTTTCACATGTGTCACATCTGAATTACTACATCACTTTACTCAAATTAGATTAGAGTCCGCACCACAATAGTTGTGCCTTTATTAGCTATTTTCACTTCGGTGCACAGTGATGTTGGCGCACATAACACAACCTTAACTGGGAATCAAAATTTAACACGCGTTGTTTCACAATCTGTCTTGTATGGACCTTATCCTTCATAAGAAAACAAAGCACCCAAACCCTTTCCGCATAAAATTGCATCAGTTGTAATTATCTCAATACTAGAATTTAATATTGCAGAAATAAGCTTGACATGTTAAAAGAAAAAAAAAAGGCGAAACACGCACTATTAACAGCAAGGATAAATAAACAAATAGATTTGGAGGCAATTATTACTTAATAATAAGTTATTACCACTTTGAATTCTATCAATCCATCGAACGGCTGATATGTTGCAATTCCACTGATACTCAACTCACCACCCTCTCTTCCCGTAATCGTATCCGTCAAATTCTCCGACATCCATTTCTCAATTAAATCAAGCGACAGCTATAACCACCAAGAAAAACTTCGAAACAATCAAGAAAACCCCCCAAAACAACAAACAATAAAACCAGTTGTAAATCAGAACTCACCCTGTTTTCTGACAATCCAAGCTGAATGATCCCGTCTGGATTAGTTATTGCATCGTATGGATCCCTCGACACCTTTTCAAACCCAATATAATACGGCGAATCATTCGGCTTGGCGATCGAACTCGCCCGTGACGACACTCGAACCGGACCTATCGATCCACGGGACGACGTTCTTGGAATGTCCGCCAGGCACGGAGAAGACGTAGAGGGCGTAAGAGGATTCGATGAGCGCTTGGGAGAACGGTTTCGTTTCAGATAAAGCTGGAGACAGTAAAAGAGAGCGCAAGGGATTAAAGAACCGAGGAGTAGGCCTCCTCTGCCTTGAACCACACCTTGAAGAGGTACAATCAGCCTCATGGCGGGGATTCGTGCCTGGTACTCGAGTTCTGCGGTTGGACTCTTCTTGGCACGGATTCGGGTCACCGACTTGGCGGTTGATCCTGTGGAAAATGGAGCTTCAGTTGGTCCGCCGTTGGTGGAACTTTGAAAAATAAGTTGCTTGCCAAGAGTGATAACTGCAAGCAGTGCAGTGATAATAGAGAAGAGAGGTTAGAGCCGTTCGTTGAGAAGAGAGAGGGAAGATGAGATTCGGTTGATTAGATCTTGTTATTTTGGGGTTGGGGCTCACTTACCATAATACCCATTGACTCGTTTATCATAATAATATAATTTAATATTGAAAATTAAATATTCGAA